GACATACAGAGCTGAAGGATAAGGACAAGAAGCCTCGTACACGAGTTTGTCTCCCTGGTTGACGATGCCCATGGCACCATCGTACGTCTGTACGTTTGACGTCAGCATCACCGCCGGCACGAAAGCTTTCGTGACTTGCACGCGCTTCGAGGCCGTTGAAGGAGTCTTGTCTCCCTTTGGACACTACCAGCGAGAACGTGTAGAAGAGCTCTCCGGTGTCCGTCAGCGACCCTCCCGGGACGACGAGCTGGGCCCCACTGGGAAGCTCAAGCAGTTGCTGATTCTTGTTCAAGCACGGCATTGAGAAGGTTCCATCCGAGAAATAGCAACTCCAGTCGTAGGTCAGCCCCTGGTCAACGCCTTTCTTCACGTCAAAGTCTCTTGAGCTGCTTGCATCCAACCGGAGCTCCGAAACCTCCGACATCTGGATCAGATCGCCGCCAGCTATCGCACCCATCAGCGGCAGGTTCCCTATTGTAAGAGTGAAGCTCGCCGTCGTAGAAACCGAGCTGTCTCCCTGCAGGCTTACGCTGACGTCAAACGTGTACGTGTTCCCAGCTTGTAGCTCATACTTGGGTATCCAGAGCTGCGACGTGCTGCTTGGGACGTAGCTCGTAGACACGGCAACGCCGGAAGATTGCGACCACTGAAAGATCATGTCGTTCTTTGCTACTGGGCATGACGAGAACACAGCGGTTGCAGTGATAGTGACATCCTGATCTACAAACGTTGATAAGGGTGACTGAGGCGTGAAGACAACAGTAGGGGAAGGGAAGGCTTTCTTGGTTATCGACGTCACCGCCTCCTTGCTTGAGAAACCCAAGAAGTCCTTCACTGTCACTCCGATCGTGTATGTCTTCCCCGTCGAAGCCATCTCAGCCACTCCAGCTTCAAATTGTATGATGCTCGTGCTTGGCAGCAAGCTTGCAAGGAATGTGTTCAGCCCATCGTCGTTAAGACACCGCCACGTGTAGCTCAGCTGTCGAGCGCTCTTAGCAAGGGCTCGCACTGTGAGAGGCGAGCAAGGGTCCACCTCTTGTGGGGCGCTGATCTGCACCGAGGGGTACAGAGGAGAAAGAGGTTTCTCGACCCTGACAGCAGCAAGCATGGGCATCGAGACTTGATTTACAGACCGGATGCCTCTGACGGTGATGAGCGAGCTTGGCAAGACGGTGGCGCCGGGGGAGAGGAAGATGTTGAAAGCTTGATCTGTGGTCCACACGCATCTCGGTGCCGTCTGGCCGAGCAGACCCGCCTCGCTCCCCACGAAGCCATCGCACGAGGAGCCCGACGCCTGCATAAGGGACCGCCCGTCGGTTGCTTGATCCAGAGTCACGGTGATGAAGGCTGCGGTTGAGTCGAAGCTTGCTCGCGTCACCTTCGGGCTGGCCCAATACACAAAATCTGTGCGAGCAACGATCGATGGGTCAGACCTCATGGTCGCTTGAAATGTCACCGTCGACGACCCAGCCGATACTGTGCAAGCTGAGCATGTGTACTCGGGGGGGTTGACAGAGATGATGATCATTGTAGTGTTGCATGAGACAACTGTAAAGTCTGCACGCAGTGAGCCTATCATGATGACGAGCTGGTCTTGAGCCGCGCTCCTGGTGGTGAGAGGAATGTTCTTGATAGACGCTATCAGCGGCGACGGATTCGTCACAGACGCTACGCATGACCTGGACACGCACTTGAGCTCCCTCCTGTCATCGACCACCTGCATCTGGAAGGCCACCGTCCAGCTCAACATCGAGCTTTC